AAAGAACAAGGTTGAGGATGAGAAGAAGAAGACGAAGAAGGGGGGAAGAGAGAGAGAGAGAGAGAGAGAGAACAGAGTGGAAGAAGAAATGAAGAAGGAGAAGAACAAACCCAGGAGAAAAGAGAAGGGGAGGGTGAGAGAGAGAGAATAAGGAGAAAAGAAAAGAAAAAAAGGGGAGGGGGGTGGTGGCCTGGCCGAGGAAAAAAAGGGAAAGCTGAAAGAGTGGAAGAAAAGGAGAAGAAGGAAGGGTATTTTTGGAAGAATTGAGATTAAAGAGTAGAATGAGAAGATTATTTTCGGACGAAAAAAAGTGTAGAATAAGAAGATTATTCTTGGACGGAGGGAGTACAAAATTCCGTGGGGTCGCGTGACCCCGTATGACTCTATGTGGGTCCGCCCCTGCCTTAGCTTGAAGTATTATCATCATTCCTCCACCAAGACTTCTTTTGGTCAATCTCTTCGTAGAAACAATCAATGCACAGACTTTGATTAAAAAACCATATTGGTTGTCGCCTTCAACCTCACATATGCATCTACTCTAACAAAGTATCTCCTTGTGCCCCCCTTTTAATTTTTAAACAAAACAAACTATTTGGAAACATTTGTTCTACAATATTTTTAGTTATCCATTTATTCTAAAACTGTTTGACTGCAAAAGTACATTCTTTTAATAGGTTCATTCTGACCTGAGAAAATGGCTTCATGACAATGTTGGCCCAGAAGTTGCTGCTTCAACTAGGATCATCTATGGAGGTATATTCAACAAATTTTATATATTGCAGGGCAACTTGTTACCCATGATAAGATTGAGCATTATTATGAACAGTAGACCAATTTAACGGCCATGCTATGTTATGGACCGAAACCATTGCAAGGTACGAGACTTGTCCCACATCGGTTGTATGGGCAATTGACGTGGGGTTTATAGGCCAAATGGGTTCCCTCGCCTATCAGACTAGTCTTTTGGGTTGAGTTCTTTCGTTTGGTCTGTAACATGCTATTTTTCATATGGGCTCATAGTTTATAGACAATTGTCCCACGGTTTGAATGGATTATGAATATAATAATCATGTCTTTTTTGGATTCATATTCATTTGTCCTAAAATAATAACTTGTAGGTTCTGTGTCTGAAGCAAATTGCAAAGAGTTGGCAACAAAGCCCGATGTGGATGGGTTTTTGGTTGGCGGAGTTTCTCTAAAGGTTTGTTTGTTTGAATGAAAATATTGAATTTTATAGCTGTTACTTTTATATGATCATTATACGCTTTATTCTAATGCTAACAGTACCACAAATCTCGTGTTGGCTTAGCCTGAATTTATCGAGATAATCAAGTCTGCCACTCTCAAACAAAATGCTTGAAGAAGATCCTCGTCTGATGCCCGCCACCTCTTCTTTGCAATGAAGTTATGTTTCTGGTTTCTCTTTTGAGGTACATGTGTGATTTTGAGTTCTGTGTTTTTTTATTGGAAAACAACTGAGAGATTTACTTATCGATTCCATGATTTGGATTTCTTGCACCATTGTGATGGTTTCATATTTTCTCAGGGTGTGTGTGCTCAAAAGGTACATTCTATCTATTTAGATGTTAGGATTGAAAGTTCCGTTACTTTGAAAAATTGAAGGATTTCATTAAAATTTAATAAATCAATGATTATCAAGGTAAAATTTAGTTTTTTGTCAAAGTATCGGAACATTCAATCCTAACAGCCAAATAGACAGAATGTACCATCGAAATATATTACCACAAATTTTAAAGATCCCAAAGTTTATTTCAGATAATGTGAAGCTTGAGAGTTTTTACCAGAAAATCAAGAGTATCCCAATATATTTGAAAAACTGTAGGACTTGAGAGCTCTTAACCGAAAAAACAAAGGTATCCCAAAATAATATTTTGCATTTTCGTGCTCTATTTGTCAAAAAGAGTTGTTATACGTCGCAGTCTTCCTCTCCCATTCACCATACCCAAAAGGCGTTCTCTTAGGAATAACTTTCTACTCCGGGCTGTAAAGTGACTGATAAAACTATCCGTCTTTTTCTTTACCCCAAATTCTCAAACTAATGTAATACTCCCTCTGTCTCGGAGTATTCGTCCAGTTTTGATTTTTGGAACTGTTCATCTAAGCACTTTGACTCATCAAATTCTCTCAATGTGTAAGCCTAAATATAGTCATGTGTGATCTTGTTTGATTTGTCTTAACATATAGATTATTAATATATAATTTCTATAATTTTTTAATATACAAATTACAAGATAAAATGGATTAAAGAAGTGTATTGGATGGTGTGTAAAAATGAAAGTGGACAAATATTCTAGGACGGAGGTAGTACTCCCTTTGTCCTCCCAAAAAAGTTGTTCTGGTATGACTTTTAAGCTAACTTTGATCATAAATCAAAAATTGATTTAAATGANCTGATAAAACTATCCGTCTTTTTCTTTACCCCAAATTCTCAAACTAATGTAATACTCCCTCTGTCTCGGAGTATTCGTCCAGTTTTGATTTTTGGAACTGTTCATCTAAGCACTTTGACTCATCAAATTCTCTCAATGTGTAAGCCTAAATATAGTCATGTGTGATCTTGTTTGATTTGTCTTAACATATAGATTATTAATATATAATTTCTATAATTTTTTAATATACAAATTACAAGATAAAATGGATTAAAGAAGTGTATTGGATGGTGTGTAAAAATGAAAGTGGACAAATATTCTAGGACGGAGGTAGTACTCCCTTTGTCCTCCCAAAAAAGTTGTTCTGGTATGACTTTTAAGCTAACTTTGATCATAAATCAAAAATTGATTTAAATGAATAAAAGTTAAAAAATTAAATATCAAAACTATATCTTAGAGCAAACACATTTGTATTAAATTTGCATTATAATTAAATATACTTTTATCATAATTTATGATCAAGGTTAGCATGAAAGTCAAATTCAGGAATTTTTTTGAAATGGAGGGAGTATTCGCCTAGAAGCGTAGCTCAAGTGCTCAAGAGAAAGTGTAAAAAAGGCGTCGTTGCTTGGTTCGGTATGTTTATGATTATCAAAGGTCTTTGGATTGTTGTACGTACTAGGGATAGATCTCATTCTATATTGATCACTTGACAAGTGGTCCTAGAAAGGTCTTTGTTCAATTCTTGACAACTACGTTGAAAGGCAATTATGCTAAGCATAGAGATTCTGCAAGTACCAGGTGCAGGCTCCACTCTTTGACACCAATCTGCAATTAAAGTCCAATTTATCTCCTCTAAGTGACCATTCGGTCGGGTTTGAGGGGGCCCTCGGGGATGAGGCTCATCCTTTTTTTAGAAAGTGGTGCATCCTTCTTTGAGTAATATTTGCTTGTCTGCATCCTTTTGTTCTTTTCCTTTGTATGAAAAAATAATGGGTAAAAATTTGATTCTTTCTATTTAGGACCGGCCTTGCAAATTTTAAAGTCTTGGTCTTGCATATTCAGTTCTAGACTTCACTAAACCTGGTTGTCATATAAATATTTCTTCCCTACCATAAGTTTTCGTACCTTTTTTCTTTTTAGAAAAACAAAGTTCCTTTAATTTTTTCTAAGAGAAGAAATTGTGATACACAAAATTTACAAAATTTACTTTGGCGTATTCTTGACTTTCTATTAAGAACTCTCAGTAACTACCATATTTAGAAAATACTTCAGGGTACTCTTAATTTTTTGGTAAGAATTCTTAAGTTTCACATTATTTAAAATCTAACTCTTGGCGCCCTTAAAATTTGGGGGGTAATATATATATTTCGAGAATGCATTCTGTCTGTTTAGCCGTTAGGATTGAAGATTTTATTACTTTGACAAATACTCCTAAATTTTACTTTGGTAATTATTATTTTATTAAATTTTAATAAAATCTTTAAATTTGACAAAGTAAATGAACTTTCAATCCCAACGCCTAAATAGACGGAATTTATCACCGGAATTATAATATCACAAATTTTAAAAAAACACAGAGTATATTTTAGATAATGTGCGATCTAACATATCTTACTAAAAAATCAAGGATATCTCAAAATTTATTTCAGATAATGTAAGACTTGAGAGTTCTTATCAGAAAAGAGCAATGCTAGGTTCACAAACATAATATTCACAAACTTCACGAACTTACTATTTATGGTTTAAATTTCATTTTAAAATCATTTTAACCATTTAATTTTTTTCATTGAAGTTCACAAATAGTAAGTTTGTGATGTTTGTGACTATTCTGGTTGTGAACCAAATATTTCCCTTTTAAAAGAGCAATGTTAGGTTCACAAACATAATATTCACAAACTTACTATTTATGGTTTAAAATTTTATTTTAAAATCATTTTAGACCACTTAATTTTTTTCATCGAAGTTCACAAATAGTAAGTTTGTAATTTCATTTAAAATCATATGCTTTCTACTTCCAAAAAGTTACGTATAATTGAATAAGTGATCAAAATTTTAAACCAACCTTATCTTTCCTCGACATAGACACATGCTTGCGAACATGGGCGTGTTTATGAGCCCGCCGCTAGTCTGCATTTTGAGCAAAGAAACAGAAGTTGAGAATTAAGCAAAAAGGGGTCCTTTAAACTTGTCATTACCCTCTACATAGACAAAATTGAAAATGTTCAATATTTGTACGGTTCTCTTTGAAAATAGAAGCAAACCCAAAACTCAAATTGCACGCATCAAATACTACTTAAAGGTTGTTTGGCGCTGCTTTCAAGAATTTAACTTTTGTTTTGGGTGGTACTGATTTTACTCTGTGTGACAAGTGCTTTTCTCTACTTCTATTTTGTACATAGAACACCGTTCCGGAGAAGTAGTAATGAAGTGTTTTTATTTTCAGCTTTTGAGAAAATCACTTTATTTACAAATTAATAACTTTCAAACACCTTTTTAGAATTCTAATAACATGTTGGGTATAGTGGCAAGGAAGCTACCAAATGTTTTTTCCAAATTCAGTTTTTTGACCCTTGCGGGTGTGTTTGTTAGGTTGAGATAATAAGAATCAACTGATATTATACTAAGGGGGCGTTTGGTTCGGGGGTAAGAAAATCGGGAAACGGAATGAGATTCCTTCATTCCCATTGTTGTGGTTTGTTTAAAAAAAAATCATTCCCTTTCCCCAAATTTAGGTTTTGGATTACACCCTTTAAGCTTTTTCCATTCCCCGCTCTATACCCGTGTTTCCCATTCCCTTTCGTTATCCTAACGCTTCTACCCCTTCGGCCCTTCCCCAACCCTCCCATTTTCCTAGTCGCTGATCCATTTCTTCCTCGCCGCCACACATCTTCTCGCAATCTCGCCGCCGCTGCAACTCCATCCGCCACAGGTATGTTCTCCCCTTCCCTTCCATCTCGGTTTCCACCCCCCCTCCCCCTCACACTCGGTTTCCTCCCCTCCCCCTCCACCCAAGTGAGGTGAATTGCAAATTTGTTTACAGATTTTTATAAATTTTTATAGATTTTTACAAATTTTCACAAATTTTTACAAATTTTTTTACAAATTTTTACAAGCTCGATTTCCTCCCCTTTACAGATTTTTTACAAATTTTTTACAATTCAATTGAAACCCCCAAGTTTTTTTTTCAAATTCCAACCCTAGCTTTTTCCATTGTGACTATTATGTTATGTTGTCTTGAGTAGTAGGATGGAGGAAGGCAATGCGAGTAGCGGCGGAAGGGGTTGGAACAAACGCTATTTGATTCCCATGTTTTAAACCAAACACAAAGAAAGGGAATTCTATTTCCTTTTCCTGTACTGGACCAAACAGACAGAGTAATTCAGGAGTAATCATTCCGTTTCTCCCTGATTCCCCCTTTTGTTTCCTTTCCCTTTCCTCAGCATGAACCAAACGCCCCCTAATGGATATGAGAGCTAATAAAAAAGACTACTTAGAATTAAAACATGGTTCTTTTATATTGAAATACTCCGTAAGACACAATACATAATGTCACATTGTAGGCTTTTTACGGTACCAACACTTTTATTTATTGTATAAAACGTCTTATTTAAGTTTGTATTCTATTGAGTACTATTTTTGTAATTATGTATATAAATTTCTTTTTGGATAATAATTAATTACTCCTTTCATTCTTTTACTTATGCTTTTTAGTTTAGAATTTATATAAAAATATATCTAATTAAAGTTTGAAATTGATGTAAAATTAAAAATTAAACCGACAAGTTTATTAAAAATAAAAATAATTTGACATAATGATATTAATTTACCAAATAAACCGTCAAAAAAAACTAAAGAAGAGTTAATCAAGCATTTTTTTATTAATTATATGAAGCAATGTTTATTTTTTATTGTATCACATTCTAAAAAAAGTACAGAGATGTAATAGTATGTACTTCAACATGATACTACTAGATGCACTTGTACTGAACAGTGTACTATATCTATCATGCCTATTTAATGACTCCCGTGCCCTTGCCCTACCCGACTAACTTCCTACCGGCCCTTCTTTTTAATCCAATATTAATAAAATCTTCCGCCCCAAAAAATCAATGGATATGGAAGCGATGCACGGGATGGCGCCGTCGTCCGCCGCCGCGAACGGCACCGCGCACCGCCGCCACATGATGATGATGCACATGACGTTCTTCTGGGGAAAGGACACCGAGGTCCTCTTCTCCGGCTGGCCTGGATCGGGCCACCTCGGCATGTATCTGCTTTCCCTGTCCGTCGTTTTCGGATTGGCGGTTCTGATCGAGTGGCTGTCGAATTGCAGTTACATCAAGGACTCCGCCGACCACGTGGCGGCCGGAATCGCGCAGACCGCCCTGTACGGATTCCGAATCGGGCTTGCCTATGTCGTGATGCTCGCCGTGATGTCTTTCAACGGCGGCGTGTTTCTGGCGGCCGTCGCTGGACACACGCTCGGGTTTTTCTTCTTCGGGAGTCGGGCTTTCAACAAGGCGCCGCCGCCGCCGCCAGCGACGGCGTACGGGAAGACCACCGATCTTCCGCCTATGAGCTGTAACTGCTGAGAAATTTATCATTTTGAAATTTGAATAACTCCGTAAGAAATACTGTACAAAAGCAAGGTTTTTAAATGTTTATTGATATTGATGAACCTCAATCCTCCAAGTCTCCGTGTCTCCGAGCTCAGTTATCAATAAATGTATATTGATTATCACATTGGTGAATGCAATTCGCCATTTTTTTACTTAAATAAGACTTTGACTTTTTAATATACTCGCTATTTTCCTTTTATTGAAAATGTTTTCTTAAGAACACTGGTAATGGGTATATTGTATGAAGCCTCTGGCTTTAAATGACAATAATTCATTAAATAAAAAAATTACATTCAATAAAAAAATATTTAATAAAAAATATATTAATCAAAAAATTAAGGCAATTATATTTAACCTTGATCCCTTTTTGGTGCGATTGGTTTCGATTGACTCTCTAGAACCGACTCCGGGTCGCGGAAATTCACCGAGGTTTGCGTATCATACACCGACGGATTGTCGGCGTATATATGATTGGAAAAACCACAATCCAACGAATGAACGTTAAAACTAAATGGATTTATGTTAACAAAGATGAAAAAAATTTGAAGATTTTTTTTTTGTTTGAAGAAGAGAGAGGGAGAGAGATAGAGAAGTGGGTGTTTGATTTTTAACACGGCCCCGGCGTTAAACCCCGGATGACGCCACCGGCGTTAAGGGCATTACCAATGCTCTATGTACCCTAATCTTTTTAGGTCATCTCCCGTTATTATACTAAACTCAAACTCAAAATGCATTAAATATCAAATGAAACACTGATTCATATCTAACCCATTACACTAAATTCAAACTCAAAACAATATTCTCACATTATTTAATTTCTCACTACTTTTTAGAAGATATTTTCAATAGAACTATTAATTGATGCAAACTATCAATACCCTTTAATAATTTTTAACAAATTAAAGAATTTCATAATAAAAGTTACGGAGTATATTAAAATATGCCAAAGAATGAAACAACTAGAAAATATAATTACATTAAAACACAACATATAAACTAACTTTTTTTTATTGTAGCGAAACTACAAGCTCATATCAAAATTACATAAAAAAAATTAACCACAAAAGAAAAAGAAATAAATAAAAGAAGTATAAAGTAATCTTTTAATATACAAAGCCAAAGTGAAAAGATGAATGGTGCAGTGGGTCAGAAATCGTGTTTGGTCGAGTATGGACAACTTCAGTTTTAAAATGAGCATGCAAGTCTATGAGAGGCCGTGAATTAATCATTATTTTTGCCTTGGGTGTATGTTTAGTCCGCTGCATTAAATGGGCAGCTCAATTGGCCGAGAACGTGAAATCTTGGACCGATGACCAGGGATCGAGTCTCGCAAGCGGCAGTGTGGGAGCTATCCAAAAATCCCATAAAGGGTGAGGAAGCTCCTTGTGCGCGGTGGACATGGGTCTAGCGTTCTTCACCGACTGAGTCACCATAATTTACCTCCTCCACCATCCCTGTCGTGTCAGGGGGTGGGGGACGCCTGGGGTGGGCGATTCCACCTTTTAGACCGAATAAATAATGGCCATTGTATTGGAAGGTGTGTGTAGGTGATTATAGTAATAAATAGCTGAGTGTATGTGATATTGTGAATACATAATTACTCTGTAATTAACATTGTAATAGGTGTGTGTGTACGCAACTAGAGTAGGTCCATTCTTTTTCAAGATACTTTATAAATCAATGATTCACATTTTCACTCTTCCTAACAAATTATCCATTACATTAAGCTTTTGCATTTCTTTCTCTCATGCTCTTTTTCCAAATGACATTCAAAACTAGAGTATAGTCCATTCTTTAATAAAAATCATATTTTCATAAAACTTTTTTTTATAATGGGCATTTAGAAAGAGTAATATCGGGGCATATTACTTTAAAGAGTACATAGAACATTTTTATGACGTATTTAAGAAATTTTTAATTGCAGGGTTAGTACTTTATTCTCAAAAGTCATAAATATTTTGATGAAAAACCAAATTTGTAAATCGCCAAACGTGGCTCTCTTTTTAGTTAATTCGCAACTGTATTCGATTCATTCAAAAAATGCATTCCTAAAAAGAGTTATAAACTTTTATTTCCATCAATTTTTTTATTATGGCCGTTCACGAAAAATAATGTTGAGACATGTTACTTTAAAGAGTACATGGAACATTTTCAATACGATTTTATAAAAATTTTATTCAAGGATTAGTACCTTATTCTCAAAGGTCATAAGTATTTTGACCTTCGACAAAAAAAATCTACATCGCCAAGTTATTATTATTCACAAGTCAAACCAATTCTACTTTCTTTATACATTTTTATTGATTATTTGATAAGATAAAATAATTTTATCACAACTTGTTTTATAAAACTTTTGTGGTAGTATTTAATACGGAGTATATAATTTTTATTTGTAATTCTACTCCAATTTTTACTTATATTGATTTGAAAACAACTTCAATCAAACATTGTAAACTGAATATTAACTTTTTTTGGAATGGGAGGAATAATTGATCAAGATTTATTTTGACTTGGAAAATGTCATAGAAGTTTAGTATTTTCTTTTATTTTTATTTAAGTTGTTTAATAAACCATGCCTTTAAATGGGCTTTTGTATTGAATAAGATATTCTCACTTGTAATCTATGTTGAGTTTGAACGAAATTTTGAATGTGTTTGGGAATCCTATGTGAATTATTAATTTGATCATTTGTAGGTTGAGAAATTCGCAAGAATTTTGATAATGTGCAAATTGTAAAATTACATCTTTGGTATTGTCTTGACGGGTGTCCTAGTGAGTCTTTAAATCACCTTATTTTTAAGCATGTTCATACAGAAGAAGTCTCGGGAAAAGAAAAACCCGCTTTCCGACGAGTTCGAGGGCATCACTCCATTTATTTTTTTTCTACTTGTTGTTTATTCTTATTTAAATCGTATCTACATTCTACAATATCCTTAAATTATATGGAGTATTAATCACAACCAATAAATTTAAAAGTAAATTTCCAAAATGATACTAAATAACTATGTGTTTTTTCAAATTAGTTCAAAGGACAAACTCATTAGCGAGATGATTATCGTTAATTGAGAAGAATGCTCAGTTTAGTTCCTCAACTAACGACCATTAAAACGGTGCCAAAAAGACATCAAAACTTATTCTAATTTCCATAAATTTTCATTTCTAATTGTTATTTTCTCAAATTATTCCAATTTGAAATAGAAATTTATTAAATATGGGGATAAATCTAAATTTTGTAGGATGAGAATATAATAAATAAAGCTATAAATGTAACTTTATAATTTTTAAAGTAAATGTTTCAAGTTAATTATAATTGTTTAAAAAATATCATGTAAATAAGACATTTAATACTCCTTTCGTCCCAAGATAGGACTCATGCTAATAAAAAATTATAGACAATTTTTCTTTTATATTTATTTGAAAATAACTTTGGTCAAACATTAGAAATCCAAGCATGAGTGTTATTTTGGAACAGATGTAATCGTTTATTAAATGTTTAATTTACATAATATCCTTGTAAATAATTTTAAACAATCTTAAATGTGTACGTTCAACTTTATTAAATTATATTTATAATTTTATTTATTATATTTTTATTCTATAATATTTAAAATTATTTTTCCATACTTAATGATTTTTTATTTTGAAAATGGACCAATTTAATAGCCACACAATTCGGAATGACTATTTTCAGAGATTACTGAAGTTTTAATATCGTCTTGATGTTGTTGTAACGGCCATTAGTCGGCTCACTAAACTCAACATTTTTTTAAAATAACAAGTACCATCTCGATAATTAATTTATCATTGAGTTAATTCAAAAAAACACATACTTATTCAGAATGATTTAAAGAAATTACTCTAAATTTAAACCAAATGGAAACCATTGAGCAGGATATAAGTCAAAACACAAAAGTGTCAAAGACTTCGGACACAGCGGAAAAGTGCGATCAGTCCATCACGACGCCACATTCAGCCATTAATAATTGCCTCCTCATTCGGCCTAAAACCTCATCGGAAAATATGGCTGCAACGAACTCCACCGCCGTCCACGGCCACATGATGCACATGACCTTCTTCTGGGGAAACAGCGCCGAGATCCTCTTCTCCGATTGGCCGGGATACGGCCACCACGGGAGGTATATTTTGTCCCTGGCCGTCGTTTTCGCCCTCGCCGTTCTGGTGGAGTGGCTGTCGAATTCCGATTTCCACTCCGCAGATTCCGCGAATCGGGCGGCGGCGGCGCTGCTCGATACGGCGGTGTACGGATCCAGAATGGGCCTGGCGTATATTGTGATGCTGGCGGTGATGTCTTTCAACGGCGGCGTGTTTATCGCCGCCGTCTCCGGCCACGCGCTCGGCTTCTTCCTCTTTCGGACCGCGGCTCTCAAAGATCCGCCGGTCACGTCGTACGTGAAGAGATCGGATCTAACTTCCGATGAGCTGTAAAAAAGGAGATGAAGGAATGAAGCAAAGCCTTTTGTATACTGTACTTGTTTGTTGATAAAATCAATTTCTGGTTATGATTATCATTTGGGCACTTCTCAAATCTGTAATTTTGTTTTCTTGACTAAAGATCAAATTACTGCGTCGTGATCAAACTTCGATTTTAGTCCATCCCATTATCCTCACACTTTGTTATGTGAACCCTTTCCTCCCAAATTAAATTTCACTTATTCTCTCTATCTCAAAAATAATGTCATACTTCATCATCTAAAGATTATAAAACTTTTTTGTTTCGTTTGTCTATTTTTTTTATTATTTGATAAAATAAAATATTATTATTATTAATTTATTATCCTTTCTTGTTTTGAAAAAAAAACTTTTGACGTAATTTTTAGATATATAATTTTAATTTTTTATATTTATATTAATCTTTAAATAAAATGAATTAAAAAAGTTTAGAATATCAATTTGTTTTGCATAATACCACATCTTTTTGGGATGGGGAGGAGTATTATAGGGAGGAAAATATTCTTTGGGGTAGTTCAAGCCCCCACTTGAGTGAGCGGATATGAAATTTTTATTGATCAAGCCCTTCAGGTGTGGTCCTATTGGCGAGGATCTTGTCCTCGACTTACAAACTCTTATCGGCTTAGACTCTCTAAAGTATCAAAGAGTGGCCTTTTAAGAGAGTCACTATATCTTAATTTTTGATTGTAAAATTCTTTTTCAGTTTTTCCTGCTAGAGCTTTGAGGAGGGTTCCTTTGTGGCTCTTCCCGGAGGAAGTGGTCAAATTAGAAGAATTATGTCCCCCGCGAACTCTAAATGCAAGTAATATTTTTTCAAGGGCATCACTAATGGGGAGGAAAGGAGGAATATGATGATGTGGAGGGGGAAGAGAAGAAGAATGATTAGAATAAAAAAGATGATAGAGAAGAGATAAGAGTACGAGGGAATAATGTTCTCCTAGAGAGGAAAAATAAATCTTTGGTCTTTTGGTTGTTTAAAATTTTAAATTTATATGAACTAATGAGAAGGTAGCATGTATGAAAAATAATTAAGAAAAAAAAAAGATGAATGCTTTATTTTTTCCCTTTTGCATTCTCGGCTTAGATCTAACCAGATCAGATCAGATCCGTTAAATTCTCTTTCATCCTTTTACTTTTTTTTCCTTTTGCATCGGTACTCTCTTGAGCAAAACTCACCCTCCTCCACAATTAACATCTCCTTTGACACCTATCTCCAATAATAGCGCCCGTAGCGCCTATGAACATCTCATTCTCTCTCCTTTGGGCATGTAATTTGGACATCGAGTTGGAGATCAATCCTAAAACACTTGTGGCTTGGCAACGTGCAATTCCCCTTTCAGCTCGATAGGGTTCTTGATGGGCAAAATGTTTGATCCAATATCTTCAATCATAGGAAAATGATTTTTTTTTCTTCTAATCTAGTGTGAAAAAAGAGTGAAAAATCTCTTCCTTTTCCTTTGAAATTCTACAAGCCAAACAGAGTGCTAGAGTTAGAGTTTATACTTGGGCTTGGTTCACAGGCTGCAAATAGGCTAAATGAGCGGCCTCTTTTCGATAGAAACTCGTGGATTTCTTTTTGGGCTTTCCCTTCTCCCCATGTGTAGAGCCCAACTCACGGTTTCAAGGTGGGTTTCCTTCTTACTTTGGGCTGCATATGCCAAACTTTCAATTCGACTATTTAGTACTACCATGTTTACCTTTGAAATGATGTGAGATTTTGTTAAACACAATGCATCTGTTTTTTTGAATTGAAAAAGTAAATTTCTATTTTTTTTCAATTCATTCCAGTTCTTTTTAAGTCTTCCCTTTTTTTTAAACTTAAAAACAGTTATTTATATATTCCCTCAATCTCTAAAAGATTTGCACACTTTACTATTCAAAAATTACGAGAATTTTTATTTCTTTGTGTGTTTTCATTAATTGTTTGATGAAATAAAATATTATTGTTACCTCTTGTTTTGTAGAATTTTTGATGTACTTTTTAAATATGTATGTTTTATTTTTATTTATATATCAATCTTTAAATAAAATTAATTGAAAAGACTTGAGATTTTACTTTGTTTTACATAAAGTGTAAATGATTTAAAGACTGAGGGAGTATGATTAATATACAACAATATCCCCTTCAAAAAAATATACAAAAACATTATATATCTAAATTTGTAACACGAACAAAGATAAATTCATTTTTATCCAAAATTAATTTTCTTACCTATTTATTTATTTGATCATTTAATTGAATGATTTTTTAATACTTTATTTTTTTCAACATTTTCATACTCCTTTCATTTTTTTTTCAACTTTTTTTCATTTTTTTCCTGTTCCTAACTTTTTCCAATATCTAACTATAGAATTCCAATAAAAAATACATGAAAATTAAAAGTTTAGGTTTATTTAATTTATATATTTTGAAACCACTGAGATTATTCAATTGCGATTTTAAAAATCATCAAGAATTCAACAAAAGTCGAGAAGTATTCATCAATAAGTTCAATAGTGCGATTATGGGGATTATGGAAATTAAAATAAGAGACTCCAATTTCCTAGGGATGGAGAAGAAACTCTTTCAGGGATGGGATTCATAAGCAAAATGGGGGAAAAGTATAGTTTGAATAGTTTGTTATAAGTTTAAAGGTAAAATAGATGTTTTGTGATTCATACTGTATATTGTGTAGCGGTTCCAAAAAAAAAAAAAATTGAATAGAAAGTTAGAGTTATTTAAATATATATATAAAATTAATGAAACCGTTCATATTTCTAAAGGAATCATTCATATTTGATTTACTACCCCGGCTCAGAATATTTATCCAACTTTGATTCTTTAGTAGTCAAAATTGATAGATTTTGATTATTAATTAAATTTTGATACAAGAACAATTTTATTAAATTTATCTTTTATGATTTTTTTTAAAATATCATTTTATTTAATTATTATATCATATAGTTTTTATTTAATTGTATATCAAATGTCAATTTTGCTTGAGTATAAAAAAAATTAAAACGGCATAAATATTTTGAGACGGATGAAATATTATTTTCATGTCTCTAGCCCCATGACTTTATAAGGACTTTTATGTTTTCTTTCTGGATGGGTAACTCTTCAATTTTAATAATCTTTGTCTTTTTTCTTAGCCTCTTAGGATTCTCTAATAATTATTAAAAATTCAATACGAAGCTCGTAGGATCGCAACTTGATTTTTTAAGATCTGAAACAATTATGTCTTGGATTTTTTAAATCAAAGTCTAAAACAGGTTTTTTGAATATTAAAATCCGACGGGGTGTATTATAGATTTCTATTCATTTTAATAGAAGTCTATGGAATTCAAAAATATTAGGTGTACTGCATTTAGACTTTTTCAAATGTGCAAAAATTAAGATGTGCTAAATTATATTTTTACGGTGAGACGTAGTTCCCCGGTTGGAATATGAGTGTTACAAGAGAGAAATCCTGAGTTCTAAACCTGGTGGCTGCGATGAGGCAACCAAACAAAGCATGGGACTTCTGCAAGTACTAGACATGAAACCTCACCCTTATGCCAATTGACTGAAATTATGACTCAATTTACCTTCTCTCAACTAACTGTCTGACCGGTGCTGAGGGGCCTCGGAGATGGGGTGTCATCCTTTTTCAAAATGAAAAGAAAGCTAGTGGTATACAAAATAAGTTAAAATAAATAGATTTAAAAGAATGCTATAAGAGAGAGATCACGAGTTCAAAGTCTGGTGATTGCGATGAGGCAACCATGCAAAATATGGGGCTTCTACAAGTACTAGACATGGAACCTCACTCTTATGCCAATTGGCTTAAATTATAGTTCAATTTACATTCTCTCAATTAACTGCTGGCCGATGCTGAAGAGCCCTCCGGGATGGGGTGTAATTTTTTTTAAATGAAAAGAAAGCTAGAGGTATACAAAATAATTTAAAATATAGAGATTTAAAAGAATCATTCATTTATGTAGATGTTTTACTCATTCCAATATACTCCTATATTTTTTCACCATTATTTTCCTTCCCCAAGAATAAATCAAAATTTGAAATGTTTCCTTAAAATACTGATTCTCATGGACTTTTAAAATACATAAAAATCTTGTACTATCTAGGTTCGTTGAATACACCCTGTATATGTTTTTCTGTATTATACTGTTTTGATTTCTTTTAAAAACAATATTTAAAATCGTGATAGCGGACATAATTGGATCAGTGAATAAAGTTTATTGCTAATTTTGTGCAACAAATTATATGCAACGCATTGGGTGATAAATGCTGGGAGAAGCAGAAACACAAATAATATGTCACATTCTAATTCCACAAATTAAATCGAAGCAGAATAATATTCATATTTATTTTGGACCACCATTGACCCTCATCAATATCATCATCCTTATTACTTTCACCTAATCGAGAAAGAAGAAGAAAAACAAGCAAACGGGGGAGCCAGAGATTTGATCCATTATACACTTTCAAATCCCGACTTTATTTTCCCTTATTATTTATTTATTTATTTCTACCAAATTGAATATATATTTATTATTATTATTATTATTATTATTATTATTATTATTATTATTATGTACACCAATTTTTTAACCTTAAACCCCCCGCGACATTAGTAAGTCCATTCTTGTGGCAGCTGCGGCATCTCCTGCTCGTCCGATTCCGGGCACGTTTGGATATCCGAAACTTGCTCTCTTTTCGAAAGAGAATAATGCTCTGTTTTGACACCAACAAAAACGACATCAATCCATGACACCAGTTCTCTCATGTTTTCCCTGTCCGGCCTACCCCGACCCCCCACCCGGATTGCCAATTTGGGGCAATTTGACATTTTTACGAGCTGGATTGCCCGGATTGTAATTACTCCGTATAAATTTATAACACTATGAAGTTGCCATTTTTACTTCGCTATAACACTACAAGAGCTCATTTTTCCTGTGTCGTCCAGGGTGCTTGATTTCTCAGAGACGCCCCTGATGAGAGATTTGAAAAAAATAGAGCTCGTGAACACCCCACGAGCATAACAACAAATACTACCTCTGTCCCTGAGTATTTGTCCAGTTTTGACTTTTTTCTGTCTGCTATTTTCAACCTTTGACTTATAATTAAGTAAAATATATATTGCATATTAATTAAATAGATAGAAGAAGGGATGTATGGTAGGAAGGAATACCATTGGAGGGGAGAAGGTGAGGGGCAGCACGGGTATTTGATTGGGACTTGTTGTTGCTGTGGTGGAGCTGTAGAACTTGCAACACTCTGGTTGGGATTAGAACCGTTGAACAACCTATGCACACCGGACACATCTTTTATTAATACCCGAGTACAATAAATAATTAAATACATAAACACAATAGCTTTTAAAAAAACCCAATAATAATAATAATAATAATAATAATAATAATAATAATAATAATAATAATAATATAGGGAGTAATTATTATTATCATCATCTAAGTTACATTTTCTTTTTAAGGAAATGAATCACGCAACTCATACGCCGTATTATTTTACAATATTATGCAAGAAATTTAGTCTTGCGATTTTAAGTTTCTTAGTTCTATGCAAATATTAGGGTTTAATTTTATGGTTAAATTAAGAGACTAGAAAGCTTATGTCTACTATTCCAAAAAAAAATACTCCGTAAAACTTATGTCTACATGTAGTCTTTGATACCCTATTCGTCATATAATAATATTTCATAATTTATTATTTGTCATAAAAAAGTTTAACATAGTATTTTTTCCCTTTTTTAATCATATAATTTTATTTTTTAGGAGTAAATTTCATAAAAGGTTCTTAGTTATAGGTCTTTTTACATATTTAATTTTACATATCAAATATTACTAATTTAGTCCCTAATTATTATATTCATTTCCACGAATGGTCTTTTATTAACATTCCCGTTAAAAACATGGATAAAATTGTAAAATCAGACTCCTTTCTCGCCTCAATTAAGCTTCCCCCTCCCCTCGCACTCCTTTCCCAAACCCGTCGCTGAGTTTGAAGCTTTGAAACCAAAACCAAAATCATCACTCTTCTCTCAATTGTTTGTCTAACTGGTGGAATCCAAATTCGAAACCAGTAACCTCCATGGTTGAGTGTTAATGTTTAATTTCCTTTGCAATTTCTTGAGACTAACTGATAAAACTCATCCACAAAGCTTATTGATTTTGATTTTAGGTTCCACCAGGAAGACTAATAATTGAGAGATGAATGATCATTTCAGTTTTGGGTTTATAGCTTCAAACTCAGCAATGAGTTTGGAAAAGAGCACGAGAGGAGGGAGGAAACTTAATTGAAGAGAGAGACAAGTATGAATATACAATTTTAGTAATAATAATTGGAGACTAAATTAGTAATATTTGATATGTAGGAACTAAATATGTAAAACGACCTATAACTGGAGATCTTTTATGGAATTTACACTTTTTTTTAGTCTCAAAGAAGAGGTGTACTTTCTTCATTGGCAAAAATATCTTTGGGGGTCTTAATCAGCAGGAAAAGAAAGGGCAAGTAGTAGTAAAAGTAGTGGTGGTCAGGAATGAATGAATGAAGTGGGCCGGGTTTGCGTGGACAGCGGAGGAGCGCGTGAGTAGACAGACGGCCTGGATCCAGAGATTCTAATCCCATGTGGGGAGGAGAGTGAGAGAGATTCCATGACACATAAGGAAAACACAGCTCTCCTCTTTCCCTTTTTGGCTGGACCAAATTCTCTTTACGTTTCTATAGCATGAATCATATTTGGTTCAAGGAATTGGAAAGAAAAAGAAAGAAAATAATTTTTTCTCATTTTCCTCACCAAAATGAGAGTAATTTAGTTTTCCTTCTTTTTAGTACATTTTGTTTTTTTCATTTTCTTTTTCTCTCTAACCAAATAACAAAAATATTTTTCTTTTCTCATTTTCTTTTCCCTCTCAAATTCCTTAAATCAAACGTAATGTTAAGAATCTGTCAAACGATCAACTTGGAGAATGATAAATTAGACATTAATTATAAATTTGTGCCAAACATTATTGAAAGAACTTTAATTATAAATCTCATTAGGTCTTTCTACATCTCTATTGACCAGCTGAACCATGTCTCCAACAAATCAAAAGATTTAGCAGAAAGAATGAAAGGGTGTAGATGGTGTGGTAGGTTGGGTAATGAGTGATATTTTGAGACTTGAGTATGTACTGGCCACAATAATAATAATAATAATAATAATAATAATAATAATAATAATAATAATAATAATAATAGGAGCAAGAAAAATATATAGTAACCCCACAATGGCAACCATATTATTGGTGAACCGTTCTTTCATTGGAAAGGTTGGTGGCAAAGATACTCACGCATTCCTCTCTCCTACATTTCAAGAAAGATTCTTATTTTCATTTTTTTTTGAATCTAAGGAAGAATCTTCCAATGTTTTAAGGAATCACTCCCAATGTTTTAAAAAATCTTCCAATAATGTTTAATTTTACTCCCCAAGTCCCAGGTACTATCATGATTTTTTTTAAAAAAAAAGAGAAAAGGGTTTTTTAGTTATACATTTTTAAGTGTGAGATTTTCGGGATTACATGTTCACTTACTATAGTTATACTAAATATATTAAAACGTTACTGGTATTAAGGAATAACGTTTTCAATTGCGCTATGAGCTTCAGAGAGTTTTCCAAAAATTATCTAACGACTAGATCCCAAGATTATTACTGAGTGAAATTTTTTCACTCTATCTCTCGATAATTTTTTTTGTTTGTGTAATAATTGATAATTTGATAAAATAACATATTGTTATCACTTCTTGTTTTGTACGGAGTAAAACTTTCAACGTATTTTTTTAATATTTCAAATTCTAATAATTATGCTTACTCGGTTTATCAATTGTTAAATAAATTAATTTTAAAAAATGTAATGTTTTGCCTCATAAATAGAAAATTGTTATCTAATTTATGACAGGAGTACTTTTTTAATGCTCCTCATTTTTTAATAATACTCAGAAAGTGAAATTCATTAAGGTAGTGTTTGGCAACTAGCATTTCATTTCAATTCATGCATTTCAATTCCAAAATTTGAAATCTTGAATTTCAAATGACAAGGGGAGGTGCATGGATTTCAAATTAAGCTTTGTTATGAATGAGAAGAATTTGACTCAAATCCAAATTCAAAATTTTTAAGTTTCTCAAACATGGAATTTGAGCCAAATCCGGATTTGAAATCCAAATCCATGTTCCCAAACATACCATGAAGAAAAATGTGAATTTTAGGTTCACAATAGAAGCACTAATTTGCATTCACAAAAGGATAAAGCTACTTGTACCCCATCTTTTTTGTACCCCACTTTGTACCCCGTAGCTTTGCACCAACACTTTGTGTTGGTGTAAAACTAATTTTTGTTAATGCACCAACATTTTGTGTCCGTGTAAATTTTTGTTAACGCACCAACACTTGTGTCGGTGTAAACTATCAAAATGTTTGTGTATAAATACGGTGTACAAATGGGGTACAATTTGTGCGGTAAGTATAGCATGACCCTTCACAAAAAAGCAAAAAAAAGTTGAAGCAGTAATTTATGTGTAGTACGGACTACGGAGTACGGAGTATGATATGTAACTTGAAAGAGCCGCAAAACTTATGAAGTATCCATCTATTCCTTGCTAGAACTTAGAAGCTAAGTTACTCTTAATGAGTGTCACAAACACTTTATTTCTAAGCCCACCCACCTTTATTGTTGGACAAGATTTAATTAAACACTTTCTTAAACACTTAGGCTGTATTCCGTTCACATGATTTGATCTAATTTTTTAAAGATCTGATTTTGTTTGATCTGATAGTAGTTATAACTAAAATTATTTTTGAGTCAGGTCCGGTATGGTCTAATCTGATTATAATAAGAAAAAGTAATAAGCCCCAAACAAAAAAATAAGTTTAACGAAACGCTGCCTTAATCTCTTTAGAAAAATTTGTATTAGAAACATCTTGGGTTGGTGTTAATATCCTCATGTTTATGTTCATTAACTAACTTATATATGCTCACTATTTAATTAAAAAAAGACTAGCCTCATCCACGAGGATTCTCAGAATCGGCCGGAAGTCACACACTTTGTAATTGAGAAAGTGTTACAGATGAATGAATATGACTGAATTTATTCAAAAATACGGAGTATATCTTAACATCTATAATAAAAAGTAAAATTTGGACTAAATACGACTAAAACATAATGACTTTCTCAATATATGACTTAAACTTTTTTATTCCCTGAATAGGACTTAATAATGACTTAGAGGGAGGAATAATGAACAGTAATGATGGACATTTACTTGAATAATGACTACTTGATAATGACCAAAAGTCCTATATTGGGAAATAAAAACATATGGTCCTATATTGAGAAAGTCATTATGTTTTAGTCCTATTTAGGTAAATTTCTCTAATAAAAACGATATAATAAGATTACGTAATTTTATTAAATAATTAATGAAAATAAGTAAAAAAGAGAAAGAATTGTTAGATAAGTAAAATAGTGAGACAATTATTATTGGGCAAATGAGGCATTAATTTTACTCCGTATGTCAATACCTAATTAGTGGTCATTTTCCTAGTTATTTACTCGTCCCTATCACTTTTGTTTTTAGTAACCATCGCTCTAGATTATCTTGTCTAAATTAAGGCAAATTCTACCCTGATACACCCACATGCATATTATTCAGGTAAAACAAATAATTACCGTTGAAATTAACATTTTTTACTATTAAATATAATTTTTTATGTGAGAAAATCTACTAAAAAAGTTTTGTAGACCTTAGATGCATTTTAGAAGCACTCTAATAATAATAATAATAATAATAATAATAATAATAATAATAATAATAATAATAATAATAATAAAACAAATAGGATTTGGTTAAAATTTAGCTGACCAGATTTGTATCAAATGGGGTAGATTTCAAACGGATACGGAATACTTTTTGCAACTCTTTCCTATGGTGGTTGAAATTTAATTTATCATTCAGTTATAAAATATTTACCAATTCTTTTTTATTAGCGACTGTTTAAGTTTTCCTACAATTTTTATGTGAATATTTTTAAAGGAAAAAATTATGTGAATAGTCTCGCTTTTGAAAATAGTATTTTCAATTAACGCTTTTTTATAATTTTTTATGATTCAATTAAATGCATGTTTGTGAATAATTACAGTTAAACTCATTTCCACTGAAACTGTGAGGTAAGTTAAAGCTGACGTGGCAGTGACAAAAGATTTGAAGCCCCGATTTGAAGTTCCGGGGCTTCAAGGGTATTTCCAGTGCCCTTAGTATTTCCAAAATGTTATGTAATAAAAGTTTTTAATATTAGCATTTTGGAAGTTAATTTATTAAACAATTATCAAAATGCTAAGGCTAATTTTTTTTTTTTGGAAAAAGTTATTTTTCCATAGAAAGACTAATTTAAAAGGGAAAGTATGGAAAAAGAAAAGAATAGAGGTTTTACCTGATTTCCTCTTACATTCCGTTGGGCAGCGGTGGTTGCTGATTCCGCGGGGGAGGAAAACGCCGGTCCCACTGCTACTGGAGGCACCGCCGGTTGCATAACCCGACCCGCCAAGGAAAACCGCTTGCATACCCGACCTGGATTTCAACGCCTGGGACCTTCCGCCGCTTCCTCTTCTTTTTCCCTTCTTCTGCTCCGCCCCGTGCTCAACTCGCTGCTGAGTCGAATCGCCTTTCTCGACTCGCCTTCTTCCCGGAGCGGGGCTGCTCTGTTTCTTTCTCGCCGAAGGTTTGAGGGCCTGCAAAGTATCAGAATTTGAGATTCCGCCCCAAAATACTCTGCGAAAATTGAAATCGTTACCTCTCTGGGCTCGGTGGGGTGGTCTTGAAGAACAATACTCGGGTCTTCTTCCTCTTCGTCGTCGTCCTCGCCTTGAAGCGTGAAACCGGCGACCTGGCGAGTCAACTCGGCGAGGAAGTCTTCAGCGCCGTCGCCGTAATCTTCTTCGTCGTCGCTCTCTGTTTCGGTTCGGGTCGAGTCGAGAGACCCGAAGGGCGTGCTGATGCCGGAGGACGATGTGTCAGAAAACCCGAATAGGGAATCGGCGACCCAGATGGGAGGAGGGCGGAGAGGAGGGGAGGAATCCATCGGAGGCGCCGCCGGGAAATGAGTCGGACGGCGGGATGGAAATACAGTCGGGCTTTTGTCGGGGAGTTTTCTAGTGGCTTTAATGTAGGCAAATGAGTACGGATTTCAACTTGGTGGAAGGGTTGAAGAATTATTGTGGCCTTGTGGGTGTGTTAGACGGCTAGTTTTTTTTTATAGGCAAAATATTGGTATCCAAGAATTTGGGTAACCTCATTTATGGTGCATTTCACAACGATTATCCTTGTATGCGATTTTCATTCTCAAAATAAACTACATACAATCTATTCTATTATACTCTAACCTTTCCCCACTATCGTTATTAGAGATTAGACTTAACATTTTCAATAATTACATGAAACTAATGTTTAAGCTATGTGTGATGGGGCCTGAGGATGGATTTAACCAACCTCACTCAGGCCCTCTATCCATTAAATGCTTAAGGTCAGGGGTGTTGTCTCAATTCATGTGATAGTCATCACTTCGTGATAGGTTTTTCTCGCTTTCATAATTTTTTTAATATTTCAACCAATCAACATTTAACACATACTCACACCTCGTCACTTTCCTTCACATTCACCATAACACACATATTTTTATCACTCTACATCATACTCTTTTACACACCGTCAAACCCCTTCATAACATATGGTCTTAGCTCGGACGCTTTCAAACATTAAAAACGTCATTTCCGAACAATGCCTACATCAAACATTTAATCAATTTTATGACAAATCATAAACCTGATTGCTCTTAAAATCAATTTTATATATTAGAATCATCAATTGATTCTGGGAATCTAAAATAAATACAACACTAATTGAACCTATTTAATTTTAAGAATAAATAGAATCCATAAAAATAATTGGCAAAACATAGTATATCAAATGCACTCTTAAGCTCTGTTCTTTTGGGTTGAAAGAAACTGTAAGGAGTTGAAAAAAACTATAAGGGGATGGAAAATGTTGGAAACTTAAAACGTTAAGAAGCAACTCAATTAAATGATTTCCCAAATAAATATGTTAGAAAACTTTAATCTTGGATAAAAATAGAATTCATCCTTGTTATGTTTGATGAGATATGTTATAGATTTGGATATATAGTGGTATTCTATATCAATCAGATATAGATACTTTTTAAGTCGTTGTTGAAAGAAACTGGAAGGTGTTAGAAAGAAGTGGAAGTGGAAGAAGTATGAAGAAACTAAAAGGAGTTGGAAGAAGTTGGAAGTTAATTTTTCCAACTCAAACAAACATGGCCTTGGTACTTGTTTTGTCATTAATTTTAGCATTTATCTTTATTGTTATTAAAGGTTTTATATGTAACGCCAATGTTAACTTACAAAGTAGTACAACACTCAAATACAATCATACAATATCATACAAATAAGTAATCATAGTTATACAACCACATGACAATTCAAGCTTCATTCTAATTCTCACATTAACTTACTGCACTCAACCTACAAATCTAGGGCTCAAACTAAACAGACTACAATTACGGACACTCAGCGGATCCCTCAAGACCGATGTTCAATAACCCAAAGAAGATCTTCAATGGCGAGTTAGAGCCCCTACGAAGATGATCCATAGGTATGTCCCAAACTCCCGTACGTACAATTTTAGCCCAAGGCCATCGAGTATGTGAACACGCCTCACACATCCAAAATCCAAGATCATAATGTACTGGTAATACAAACACTCACTTTAGTTCAATTCAGTTCAAATCCACTTACATGTACTTAGTGGCCTTTTCAACAATATCAGTTCATCATATACATTTATCACCAATAAGCTTAAATACATACATATCACAGCTCATGCATAATCAAATATAACAATCAACGGTCTTTCGAGGGACTATAGACCTTGTGATTACCATCATGCATCAATACAACAATTCAAAAGGGAACAAAGTTATTCAAGCTTACCTAGCAGCTCGTCACACGGTAACACTATGTTGGTACTGTGAGACGGTAGCTATGTATCGTGTCGGTAGTCGACTACCGCTACCATAGGAGCTCTCGCAGAAGGTTTGGGCTTATGTCGATGTCGGGCACGACACCATGCTAGGCCTCTGTTGATTGCTAGTGGCTTACAGCTTTATGTGCTGGACCAAAACTGTCATCTTCAACCTTCGCCCATCGTAACTCTGACAGTAACTCTAACGAGGCTTCAGTCTTTGGGACACTCACAGAGCATACAATATAACACAATAAACACACAAGATCATAATCCAAGTCCTAATACATGCTCCTATGCAAATCAACTCACAATTACCTTATGGCTTAACAATCATGCTTACGGTTTCGAAATCAATCATAGAAAGTATGCAAATAAAGAACTAACTTATAAGCTAACCTTAACGGTAGACATATGAACCAAGACTCATGTCGATTGGTTGAACAAATCAAATCAATATAATGAATCAAACAAACCAAACTAACAAACAGGAAGAACCAACAGCGGTTGGGGTACATGTAACAGTGACCATAATAAATTGATCTCCAAACTGTGATTGTGTTCTTCCTCACGGTGAGAGCACTAACATTACAAATGTGCATCAGCCTTGCCTCCACGATGATAGTACTTCATAAGTTTTCCCCCTATCTTCAACATTCCGTAATATGATATTTATAGACATGAGGGTTCTGGGTTTTGTGCGTACAATTACTATCCAAACAATTAGTGAGCCTTGAGATCCTCCCATCTTATTGGCCCTTCATCTCTTGGCTTCATATAAGTTACGGTTCTTAAAATGTTTTTTTGTCTAACATGACTCATGTCATGCTATTGAGACATTTACGTTCCACGTTATTATGTGAACTATTGTCGTGACAGGTGTAATACTTTTCCCTCTAGGATCACAAGACATTCCTCTTAGCATCTTTTATCTCAAGTCCTGCATGCAAGCGAGTCATAATGAGATCCAGGTCTTCCTTAATCTCCTTGGCATCTTTTTTTCAGTTTTTATCTACCTTGTCACTATGAGATCTGGGTCGATCTTCCTTGACCTCATTGACATCTTTTATCTCATGTACCATTCATGATCGAGTCATGATGAATTTTGGGACTTCTTTGATATCCATGGCCGGGTCTTACCTATGACCGAGTCATATTGAGATCCATGTCTTCTTGATCTCCGTGACTTCTTTTCTTTATAGTTTACTTAGATCAAACATTGTTAGGGTTTGTTCTATTCACTTGATTTGATTGATTCTGATATGATTAGATTTGATCTGGTCTGATTTGAATGTAATTATATTTAAAGTGATTTCTAACAAAATCAGATATGATCTGTATTGATTTCAATAAGAATAAAGAATAAGTACCCCCTCCGTCCCACTTTAAATCTCTTATTTCAGTTTACGATGTTTGATGAAGTGATTTGTGGTGCAATTTGTTAGAGAATTGTAACTGAATTAAAAAATAATATTGACACAATAAGAAACTACATCAAAAGCTCTGTGAAACAAGATATGACATGACGATATTGTTTTATTAAATGAATAATTAACAAACAACTAAATTTAGGACGAAGGGAGTAATAAGAATAAATTGAAGAAAACAAGCTCGTAGGTTCTCTTTTTTTTGGGTTAAAAAAAATAAATTCTAAAGTAAATTCCCAAAATAGTCTTTTGTAATAAGGTGTTTTCCCAAATCAGTTCTCAATAAGTTTTAATTACCTATGTGGTCCTCTATAATGGAGATTTATTCCCAAGATGGTCATTCATAAATAATGTTATTCAAATGAGGATTAATTAAGGGTATTTAGATATTTTTTATCTGCTAAATTTAGAATTAGTTCTTAAAATGATCATTCATAATGAAGTGCTTTCCTAAAATGGTTTTTCTAATTAAAAATGTATATTTTGTAACGCCCTCAAACCGGCCTAGTTTTAAATAAATAAATATTATTTATTTATTGAGACTCATTATTTTAAATTAATAAATATTGAGATTTCGATCTCTTTAAATTGTTTTCCAAAGCTAATATATTTTAATTATAAAAGATGTTTTAATAACGGGTCTCTCGACATTAATTAATTAAATAAATTAATTAATGATTGGGATGGATCCGGAAGTTTGAAAATAAAGTTTCTAGAAAAATATTTAGAAGATATCATAAATTTAGTTTTAACTGTTTATTTCTGACAATGCAATCGGTTTTCAATTCAGACAACTTCGGGGGGAAAACCGCGTACCGTTCAGGCCAGACTTTACACAACGGAATGTCAATTGGGGAGGACTCCTCATTCACTCACCTCCCAGGCCACACACGCACACTCTTCATCTCCCATAACCCCCCTCCCCATTCATTTCTCATCTTTATTTTTCATATTAATCACCATTAACTCCTCCACCACATTTGAACTCCCACACACACAACCCTCATCCTCCTTCACTTGTATTCGGCCAAGACAACAGTAGCCAAGGGGGGAGTTTCCGGCGAGAAGACGAGGAGGTAGAAGAGAAGGAGGGCTACGCGAGAAGTCGTTCATTCATTCGTTCGTCCATTCATCATCCATCCGTTCAATTCACTTACGTTTCATCAAACCCTTTGTTTAGAGGTGAGTAGTTGTCCCCTCTAATTCTAGAACATCAAGTTATAATCTATGTTGTTATATTCATAGGAATATCGTACGCAACCTACGTAGAATCTATGCATGTTCGTAGGTTAGCCATCAAAACGTTCACTACGTAAAAATCATATAAATTGGCCTAGGAATCACTAGGAATATATTCATAAATGTTTACATTATTGTTCTAAAAAGAATCAAGGCGTTAAGTACACAAAACGGATCAAAACAAAGCCAAAGTCAGTGGACTGTCTGCGGGACGATCGACCGCCGCTAAGGACGGTGGACCATTTCCCTTGACCGTCCGTCAGCCACCACCGTAACGGTCGACCGCCGGCCGAGACGGAAGACCGGGGTGGACCGTCGGCATTCTAGAACTCCATAACGTAGCTCACGGCCGACCGCCGGTAGGGTACGGTCGACCGTTTCCCGGGCAGTTTGTCGGACAGTTTGTAGAATGAATTCCGTTGACCATATTGACTCAAAATCTGATAGTATGTTTGCATGAAACGTTAATCTTCATTATGTATGTTATTTAATTGATATATTCTTGGCGTTGACCAAAGGTAAATATATCAAGCATTCATCATGTTCATTCTAGACGCATGTCCTAGGTTTTTCATCATGTGCATACCACTGTAGGGAGGTCAGGCTTTCGTGCGCCTACTACAGTGGGCCCGTCCAGGAACCTTTGGGATCCAACGGGTTTTCATCAGGTGGGCTTTGTGTACGTACATGGTAGTCAGGCTACGGCTACCACCCAGTTTTGCTAGTTCACTTGCGACATTTTCGTCGAGCCCGACTCATTACCGGAGTGCAGGGGTGATCCTGTCAAGTGAGACTAAGCCAGGGGTGTCCCTAATAGTTTAAGTCATGCATCAAGTCATATCGTCAACATGTGGGTTCCATGTCATGTCAACATTCAATGTGGTCGTCATCATCATGTATGTCCACGTAACATCAACATTCAATGTGGTTGTTATTCATTTTGTTATGTGTAATAATATCCCATCAAGTGCAAATTAATCAGTTAGTAAACATGTGATTTTCCGTACGTTAAAGTACAGGTATTAATATGTGTATAATCATATGAGTTATCACTTCATGTTCTTTTGTTAGATTCACTCCTCAGCTTTTGCTGAGCGTGTAGTTGTTTTTGCTACACGCAGGTAGACATGACGATACAGGTGCTAACCCTGGAGGATAGTGATGATGGGAAGATGGGCGGCCCACGGACAAGTTTAATAATTAAATACATTTAATAAATTAATCATTTGGGCAAGAACCCACCATTTGTCGTTTTACTTATTTTGGACTTATTTATTTACTTCCGCTTTACTCTGCGTTTAAGTCACACAAGTTTTGGGGTTAACTCCCTAGCATTTAATTCACCAATTAAACACAACCAATTTCATAATAAATAGTCATTAACGTTTTTACGTTACGGACGGTTCTCGGACCGCCCGTGTAACCCTACCGGTCCGTTGGGTCGCGGGTGAACCGGGTCCGCGAAAGGTGGGTGTTACATATTTGATTTGAAATTTAAAAGATTTTTTCTAAGTTTTAAATAATTCATGAATTATTCATAGTCAATGAATTTTTTAAATTTTTTCATTTAATTGTACAGAAATGACTGTTTCGAGAATATACTTTAAATTTGGATGATCAAAATACCAAAATATCTCCCAATTAATCATCATTTGAGTAATATTATTTACGAAGGACTATCTTGGGAATAAATCTCAATTATAGAGGACCATATAGGTAATTAAAACTTATTGAGGACTGAATTGGGAAAAACACCTTATTACAAAGGACCATTTTGGGAATTTGCTCTAAATTCTAACTTTTTCTAGCTCATTCCCGTTTCTCTTAGTTTCTTCTAATTCTCTCCAAGTTTCAATTTCTTCTAATTCAACAACTTTAAAAAGATATTTATATATGATGAATATACAATAACATTATATATAACCAAATTTATAACATACTACCTCAAATACGGACAAAGATGCATTTTTATCCAAAATTAGATTTTTTTTATATATTTATTTGAATGATCATTTAATTGAGTAAATTTTTTAACATTTAAATTATTTCCAACTTTCCTAGTTTTCTCTAACTCGTTCCATTTTTTTTCAATATCCAACTCTGAAATTTCAAAAAAAAAAAAAAAGAACGGGCTTATTGCGCGACTTTTAATGTCAAAATGTCTAATGCTAAAAAATCCTTCCCCATATATGGAAGCAAGACATCCTAAAAAACATTTAAGCAAATGATGTGGTTTGAATTAGGAAAAATTATCCAAAACAATTCCAACTTTACTCCGTCTTTCAAAAATAATTTTATCTTTCACTGTAATGCATGACAATCCAAATGGTACTGAAATTTGTGAGTTTTGGGCCGGCGTTAAGTTGTTAACGGCGGGTTAATAGAACGGCATGTTTTGCGCAACAAAATGAAAGTTGGAATTATTTTTTGTGAATTTTTATTTTTAAATTTTTTAAAATATTTATTTAAATTTTTAAATTAACTTTCTACATTAATTTATTTTTCCTTTTTGAATATTATTCTTATCTTATAAAATATAAAAAAATAAATCTAAAAATATCAAAAATGATAAAAATAACCAAAACCATACAAAACTAATGAAATAAATAAGGTAATCAATAAAAATTAAACTAAATTTGAGAAGAAACAAAATAAAAAATATAATTAGTGGAGTGCTCTAACAATTTGCGTACTATATAGTACATTAATGCTCTGTATAGTGTGTAAAATGTTAAAAGTTAAAATCCACCAGTTCATATACTTTTATTTTATTTCTTACCAGTTTTAGGTTAATTTTCATTGATTACTATTTTTTATTAACTTTGTAAGATTTTAGTTATTTTTCTCATTTTTGTTAATTTTATATCTTTTTTTTTATTTTTATCTAAAGTTAGACTAATATTTAAAAAATACAAATGATAGAGGTAGAAACTAATTCTAAAAATTTAAATCAAAATTTCTAAAAAAAATAGAAAAACGAAAAAATAATTCTAACTTTTATTTTGTTACACAAAACATATCGTTTATGTTAACTTGTCGTTAGTGATCTTTGAAAAGTGAGCTTATTTTCGAAGAGTTAGAATTATTCTCAATAATTTCTTTGAATTATACAAATATCCCCGAGGAACATTTTCTCTTCCATAGTGATCTCCTCAGAACGAATTGGCTTATCGGTTTCTACTGTCTGGCAATTGGCCGTTTCAGAAATTCTTCGTCGTCCTCTCCCCTATTTTCAGGACGCCGTGTCTCCGTTCCCGATCTCTTCTTTCCGGTAAGCGTTTCATACACGATTTTCCAATCGATTTTCATACAACGATTTGTCGCTGTAGGCTTTCGATCGTCATTGAGTGGATCGGTTCCGTTTTGTTTGATGTTTTTTTTGTGTGTGCGCGCGCGAAGGTGGTGGAGGAGAAAAGAGTGCGAAGAAAGAGATTTTTCTGAGTAATAGATTGTGATGGCGAAGAGAGTGGATCACGAATATGATTACCTGTTTAAGATCGTCTTGATCGGAGACTCTGGAGTCGGGAAATCCAACATCCTGTCCAGGTTTACCCGAAATGAGTTCTGCCTAGAGTCCAAATCTACAATTGGAGTTGAGTTCGCCACTCGAACTCTGCAGGTTCATTTCTCCATCTCTATTTCTTCTGCTGTGTAGATTAGTTTTATACTACGTATGTGCTTCCATAAATTCCCTTTGAATGTTTTGATCAGTAGTGAAATAGGATTTGTTAAACAATTTGTATGTTTGTGTTTGTTGCTGCTGATCCTGCTAGAAATATCAATTTTAATGGTTTGAAGAGTATGGAGTATGTATGCTAGATCTATGGAATGTTACTATTTGGTATAATTTTCTCTGTATCTAGTGAATTCACAGATGAATGGAAAATATTCGAATAATGAATATTGTGCTTGTGTGTATTTCTTTCTAATACCGTGTGTACTGGGCACGAGAGGGGCTGAGGTGGCCGGAGATAACGCCCGCACACTACCCCCGGGGAGCCATCGGGCTTCCCCTCATTCTCCGCTGCTATCCTGAAAACGCCCTCTCTTCTCTATCTCTGTTTCTGGGCCCCATGGCTACGCTTGGCGTCTCTCCTTTTGTGGGGAACCATCGGTGTGGAGGTGGCCAAACATAACGCCTTCTGCCATTTTTGCTACACATGGTCTAATGGGCATGACCGCATGATGATGCTCTTGACCTTTGGCAGTTTGTAGATTTTTTTCCCTTTTATGGTGTGTAAGAGTAAGAGTTTTTTAAGGCGACCCGGTTGTCCTAAAATCATATTTTGTTTTACCTTAGAAGTTTAGTCGAGTGAACTGGTCTATTAGTACTTCTTAGGGCACATTGCATATCGGCATATCCAATAATCCAATTATCCATCCATCATGGCTGTTATCATTTTTGTGTTCAGTAGGTATATAATACATATTGTAATCGATGTACATTCAACATCAGTCTTAAAAAGGAAAATAAGTATCCACGTATTCAAATAGACATTCTTTAGGAGGAGAGTGAGCTGAAGAAAATGACAAAAGGAAATAAGCATTCATTAGAGTAGAGGAAGAATGAGCAATCATCAAGAAATTGCAAAATGCCACCGGATGTATATTCATCCATATGAATGATAATATTTGAATTTTGTGTTAGGCTGTCAAAGAAATACTAGTGTATTGGAGTATTTCTCATTGATAATTTTGTATTTTCAATGATGTTATAATTGTTATTTACTAGTTACTGCACAGAAGAACTTGGGATGCTTATTTTTTGAACCACTTTGATATTTGAAAACTATTATTCTGTCTTACCCTGAGAATAGCATTTCATTACATGCTTAAAAGAGAATTCAAGGTAAAACAAAACCTGTGTAACTCACTTATTACTGTTATTAGTTTCCAGGTTTAGTGAATTTCTCTTATCAACCGTTCAAATAGTATTTTCTGGACGCATGTTTTAAGAAGAAAAAAATTCAAATGTGGGACAATTGGGCGTTATTGGTTGAGTTCATTTATAAATTATAACATCAATGATATCTTCTTTGTTGGAGGTCTGGAACAATTGGTTCAATAAGAAACACCAAGAATACACTCAGTACTCTGAAAATATTAAAGAAAGAAACTAGGTAAGTTTAGGAGTAATCTTGAAGGAAAGAAAATGTGGCTGAAATAGAACAGTGGTTCAGACTCAAACATAAAAAATGAGATTCCCTAGCAAACTTAATAAAAAATAACATTCATTAGCAAATTTAATGTTTCATCAAACTCTGTTTATTTGTCTCTAACTCTGCATTATGCAAATTGCAAAGACTAGAAGAACTTTGAATGTATGCAAACATTGTTAATAATATTGATCATATTTCTTTTTCCTTTTCATTATTTCAGTCTTAAAACCAAACCCACGAAACAACCTTCTCTTGCAAGTTTACCTACTTTGTCTTTTACAGGTGGAGGGAAAGACTGTGAAAGCCCAAATTTGGGACACTGCGGGGCAGGAAAGGTACAGAGCAATAACAAGTGCTTACTACCGAGGAGCCGTAGGGGCACTCCTTGTGTACGACATAACAAAGAGGCAGACCTTTGACAACGTCCAAAGGTGGCTCCGGGAACTAAGGGACCACGCCGACTCCAACATTGTGATCATGATGGCGGGCAACAAGTCTGACCTCAACCACCTTCGGGCAGTGTCGGAGCAGGACGGTCAGGCCTTTGCCGAGAGGGAAGGGCTGTCCTTTCTGGAGACATCGGCACTGGAAGCGCATAACGTGGAGAAGGCTTTTCAGAGTGTTTTGACAGAGATTTATCAAATAGTGAGCAAGAAGGCATTGGCTGCACAGGAAGCTGCATCCAATACTACTTTCCCTGGTAAAGGTACCACCATCAATGTTGGCGATTCTTCGGCCAATGCAAAAGGTGGCTGTTGCTCTACTACCTGATCTTTCCTCTCTTCTTCTTCTTTCAGAATGTAAGATTACTTTCTTTATTGGTACAAGAAAGTGAGCTTATGAATGTTAAAATTGTTTATTACCTTTGGTGAATACACTTTTTTCTTCTTCCTTTTTATTCTATAAAATTTTTTATTCTTTTTTTTTTGTGGTCCTGGGTGGGTCAGGAAATTTACCAACAATTGGCCTTCTCTATTTTTTTTTAATTTTTTTTTGAAGAACAAATGTACTCTGTTATACTGTATAACTTATATTGCTGTGCTGATATTTTTTTTTAATATCCTTTGACTTTAAACTTTTATGGGCCTGTAATTAATTGTTCATTTGTACTTCAGCAAACAAATTTAGGAACTTGAAATCATTGGCAAATTTAATTTGAAAACTCAGCTCATTAAACATGGGATGTTTTAGAAAGTAAACAATCAATGTCATGTTGTATTCATTTTTAATTTCTATTATTTACACTCTAGTGTCCAAATGTCAGGCATTAGTCTCCTTCAATTTAAACATGGATTTTAGACTCCTATCTCCAAACTTCACTTGTCAAAATTCAATTTTAAGATAACAAATTTTATATTTTAATTTCTGATTATCAGGTTTACAAAATGATTTTCAATTTCTGACAATATAATCATATGGAGTAATATCAAATGACTTTCAATTTCTGACAACTATCATATGGAGTACCCCAACCCTCATGCAAAAAACTACTCGTACATTCTTTCATTTCTTCGTTCATCTCAATAAAATTTACACATCATCTTTATCTTACTCCGCATTAAAGATAAAACTTAGTGGCCCACTCTCTTTCATTTAAACGAATTTCAATCATACGATTTTTATTTTTCTAAATGTTTCTTTCTTAAACTATATGAAAGTCAAATAAGATAATTTTTACTTAATGGTGTATTGCAGTATATGACATAGGCAAAATATTTAACAAGAACTAAAACATGCTACATATACAATTTTAAAAATTGGAGCCGTTGGTTTAGATTAGAAACCGGTGAACCATCTTTGAACCAAGTCATGGGTCCAGGTTTCGGCCTAGCCAAAATGAAGGTTCGACCTTTACTTTTATTGTTTGGGCTAGCCTGAACCGTAAGCTGTGGGCGCCTATAAGTAATGTGGGCCAGGCACGAACGTTGTTCGTAAAATCCACGAGTGGTCCGACGTCTATTACTTTTTTTATACTCGGTATGTAAGAAAAAGTGATATTTTGACCACATCATCTAAAAGTATATCAAAGCGATTTCTCAACTTGTGATTTTCTATATTTAAAATAGTTGAAAATTATATTGTTCCTACCTCAAAAGGATTCTATTCAAAGCAGAAGTTAGAAAAATCTTTTTAGAAGCACTGACAGACAATCTCCCTCTAAAATCTAGTGTGAACATAGTATTTAAGAAATCATTTTGAAGTAGTTGATCGGTCACTTGACTCATTGATTCGACTAATGAGAATGTGAATCGCGTTTTGACTGGTTCAGTTACTGATTAATTAATGAAAAGCTCCATATATCAATGTATGACTAAATATTTTTACACCAAAATAAAATTTATAATGCCGAATAGTGCTAAAACATAATGTGAACACAAAATTCCTAATGGGACATTAGTGCCAACACTGATATTTAGGAGATGAAAATATACCGAGTAAGATTTTTATTCCATACATTAGTGTGAGCCCAAAAACTTGCTAGATGTTTATATGGGCCTGTAAGCCTTTCCACGCCATTGCTCCCTTCCCATTTAACGCCTTTCTTTCTGCTTCTCATCAAACCGCAAAAGCACTTTGTTCTGTAAAGCGATTCAGACCCTAAGCGGGGGAGAAGAGAAGATGTTCTTCCACATAGTCCTGGAGCGAAATATGCAGCTCCACCCGCGCCACTTCGGCCGGGATCTCCGGGATAAGCTCGTCTCCAAGCTCATGAGAGACGTCGAGGGCACTTGCAGGTTCCCGTGCAACCCTATTTCTTCCCATCTCTTAGAATCGCGATTTACCTTTTTCAGATTTTTATACAAAATCCCTAATTTTTTCTCACAGCGGGAGGCACGGTTTCATCGTTGCGATCACCGGCATTGAGAGCGTCGGCAAAGGTCTTATTCGGGACGGCACAGGGTTTGTCTCCTTCCCGGTGAAGTATCAGTGTGTTGTGTTCCGGCTTTTTAAAGGGGAGATTCTTGAAGCTGTCGTTACTATGGTTAACAAGGTTGAATTTGATTCTTTTTCTTTCTGATTTGGTTGAGTGATTGAGTTATTTGGGTCTGTGTAATTTTTGGATAAGTTAACACTGTTATGTTTTTGCATTTGTTCTTGATTGCTGCAGATGGGATTCTTTGCAGAAGCTGGTCCTGTACAGATTTTTGTCTCCAATCATGTAAGTTTTCTGGTGTTGCATAGAAGAAATGTTTTTCGTACTGATACCAGCTACTTGTTTCCTGGCAAAGTGGGGGATATGTAGTTGTTTAGTGGTTTTTTCATCTTTTACTCCTTATTGTGGTCTGCTACTCGTAGTGTTTGTTCTTGAATCCAGACTATAAAAAATGAGTAAGAAACAAGGTCTTAGATACGAAAGAACCTCGACTCAAGAAAACATTAATGCATGTTATGGAGTACAATACTTGAATTCTAACAAATGAACAATTAGGGGAAAACAGTTACGGAGTACAGAAATGAAGATCAAATTACAAATAACAACACAAATAACCGATGTTAGATTCCGCTACAACTTTGACCTTTGACATCCAAACTTCCTATCTAGGACCACAATCTTGGTGAGCTACGAAAGCATGTATAGTCCAATCGTGTTGCACTAAAACCTCTTTGGTGTACCCTTACTTGAGTTACACTTACCTCTACTCAAACCCCACACTGGTAACCTCTCTCATACCCTCACAGGGTAAAAGTGTATAATTGTTTTTTCTTTGAACAACCTTAAACTCAATTCACTCTTATACTCCACAGAAGTGACTCCCACATTGTCTCGTATATACTTGCTTTTAACCTTTTCTCTCCTAGCATCAGTAGCATGATATGTTTATCCTATGGTATTTTACTTCTCCTGGAGGGAGGAACATTTACGGGAATCTGTTTCCCTTAGTTTTTTCTAGGAGTTTTTCTTCCCCAAGTATACTCATCATGATTGTGTAGATATTTTTATAGTTAGTCAGATCAAATGATGAAAACTTCATGTAGCACCTACTGAGTTACAGTAGCATAATTATTTGTCTTTATCAAGTCTTCTGCTTCTCTCTCTCTCTCTCTTCATTTTCTATTATAGACCTGGGTTTTACCACATTTTTGGAGACCCAAATGAAATGGAATTTTGGTGTTATGTATTGCTAACTTAGTTTGTCTTCTTTTTTATAGTTAATTCCTGATGACATGGAGTTTCAATCTGGAGATGTGCCGAATTACACAACATCAGATGCATCAGTATGCATTTTTCACATATGCTCAATGAGAGTTTTGAAAAAGTTTATTGTTACACTTTTCTTATCATCTTCAAGTTCAAAGTATCGATTTTCCAATGTTTACCGTGCTAAAAAAGATAGGTGTTTGATCTGTCATCCTTTTAGGTTAAGATCCAGAAGGAGAGCGAAGTCCGGTTGAAGATTATTGGAACTCGAGTTGATGCTACAGAAATTGTATGCTATCAATCCTTCTTGTGTGTGTGTGTGTGTGTGTAAACTAGTTCAGCTAGAGCTTTTAGTTTAATTCACAATTTAATCTCTTTTCCTTCTCCCCCCCCCCCCCAAAANTGATCTGTCATCCTTTTAGGTTAAGATCCAGAAGGAGAGCGAAGTCCGGTTGAAGATTATTGGAACTCGAGTTGATGCTACAGAAATTGTATGCTATCAATCCTTCTTGTGTGTGTGTGTGTGTGTGTAAACTAGTTCAGCTAGAGCTTTTAGTTTAATTCACAATTTAATCTCTTTTCCTTCTCCCCCCCCCCCCCAAAAAAAATGTCAGTTTGGATGTATGGCCTTGGAAGACTGGTTCTATACTATCAAACATACTCCATATTTGAGATTATATAATGTGGAGTAGTTGAAGGAATAACATAATGGGCGTTCACATATCATTCGCCCTTTATTCGTTTTCGAAACATTGTATTGTATAGACTAGGCGCCCCAAAGTCTTTCTCGTCCAAAACCATCCATCCAAACTTTCACCTAGTCTACAGTATCATCAAACCATTCTCACTTTGACAATCAAATTGTTTTTCCCATTTGAAATTCAAACCACTGATTTCCTTTAACTCCAGTATAGATGGGCACTATTATTCTCATACAAACACTTTAAAAGAGAAAACGATACAGAGTAATTTTATTGTCATCATATTCTTTTGTTTGTGTGTGTTTCTACTTCTATTCCTACCTTATCTCCTGCAATTCATGCTGTTCTTATTCTTTCTGCAATTCCAAAATTTCAGTTTTGCATTGGCACAATAAAGGATGATTTCCTGGGTGTCATTAGTGATCCTACCGCAGCTGCTTGACTTCATACTTAACCTGGAGAAACCAAAAGGGTTTTGTTGCACTCAAGAGTCAAGACATCTCTGTTTGAAGCTGCTTTTTGTACTATAATCTCTTCTTTTGTAACACTAACGTTGGGCTTTGCCACACTATATGTCTGGTTGCGCGTCCGTCTTATGTGTGGGATTTACCAGATTTTAGAGTTTAGTTGAAAGTTGAATGGGATTCGTATTCAGAGTTATCGGACTCTAGATTCTTGTTAAAGTTAAAATGTAAAGAACAAATAGACATCGTTTATTGGGTCGTCGAAACAAAAAAAAGCTTAAGTTGTTGCACCAGTACAAATGTTTAGCATCTGGGAATTTTGCATATGCATTTGTTTATACATTGCACTTGCACTAGACCTACAATACAAAAGAAATGAGCTTCAAAAGCACTTTTTTCCCTTCTAGTTTAGTGCAGGTGTAATGTATAGGCAGTAAATACAAATTGTGTAATTCAAAAACCATTAGACAATTGTGATTTTATTTGTTGTGTACGAGTTGCGTTGTCTCAAAGTAAATGAAGGTTAATTTTTTCCTTGCGTTGATCAATCTGAACGCTTAGTTGGAACCCCTTGGACTTCAGAAACTTCACTTTAATTAAAAAGTTGGAAAACTTAGGTGTATAAAAACAGCAAGGTTGAAGAAGCTATAGATTGTTTTAGGATTAAACTATGTCTACCCCAAAATTTATATCCCAATTTGTACTCCACAGAT